ATAAGTAATGTTACAAGTAGAGCGACTGCACCAACATGTTTCATGAGGAGGAATAAATCCGAACGACACCTCTCCATATTTATGAATAATAAAACGTTGTCATTTTCAATACTCAAACACATCTTTATGTCGTTTTAACCTTAATTAAACGAACAGGAACGAACATAGTTGATCTTATTAAATATGAATTAAATATTAATATTGTTATGTTGATTTGATCCACATCACACAACCTTATAAAGATAAAACACTGCTTCAACACTGCAGATCTGATGATGAACTTCTTTGTAGAATGGCCCGCATCAAAAAACACAACTTCTGTCCAGGTTTAAAGCTGCAGCACCGATTGACATTATTTCAGGATTTTCACCAAAAAGAAATGTGATAAATATTCCATAAAGAATATAGATAAGGGGCGCCTTGTGGCTCAAATGGTAGAGCGCGTATTAGGACTCAGTCCTTACCACAGAGGCCTGACCCGTGGACCCTTCACCCCCAACCTACCTGTCTCTCTCTAACAACAGCATAAAAAGGCCAAAAAAATAAAATAAAAAAATGTATATATAGATAAATAATATGCCAAAAACATTATTATTTTGGCAGATATTGTGATATGCGATTTCACTTGGAATCGTTTTTGCATTTTCATTTTCACTGAAAAGCAATATAAAGATGATGATGTGACATGTTCCTTCACATCTGGAGAACAGGATTTGTAGGCTCTGTAGCACCACAACACTTATGGTGCAAACAATGCACAACAATGATGCGACACATTTTACCTTTATCAAAAAAAAATGGCAGCTCCTGCAGTTTGGATGTTGCACTTGGCCATATTGCGATTTTGATTATATTTCAAATAATTGTGCAGCCCTACTTATACACTGACTACTGGTGGTTTTGGACCATAGGCAGCAGCAGATGATGTGTTTTGTCATTAGGTTGTGAAGATTTTTGGGATCTTGTGATGCTGACCTTGTGGTTTCCATAGCCCTGTTGTGTAGCGACATTTTTTGAGGAGGTGCATGTCAGCAGTTAAGTATCAGTGTAGTTTGAGTCAGTCAGTTTAGCGCGTGAACCTGTGGAGTCAGACCTGTGGCATCAGTCATTCGGCAGCTGCCCCAGTCACCGGGTCACCATCCTGAACTCTCTGTCCTGACTTCACAGGATATTTGATGCCACTAATCCAGCTCCCTTTAACAAGACATGCTGCTGATTGCCTGTGGATTAAAGGCTTTGGTAAACTACAAAGACCCTGGAAACAGTTATTATTCACAATAGGTTATTGGTGCGCTGTGGATGGGATTTTACTGGGAAGCTCCCAGTGGCCAGCAGTCAAGTTGTGGCAGCACTGGGCAGCTGGTTGCCAAGTTTTGTTATTAGTGCAGCCGTGTGTTGTGCCAAGAGTTGAGATTGCTTTTCCCACTGTGTTTTTGAGTTCCATATTTTTAGGTCTTCAATGGACGAAAGACAAAGTGCCGCCTGTATCAACTGAGTCTGTTTTGGAGCAGGATATTTTACAAGCTCTTGTCCGTCTGATTACAGCCGTCTGAAAAGCTGCACCGATTCAGCGTGTATGTATGTGTGTGCAATTCGAAAAAGCACAAGCAACGCGCATGCATGTGTGCAGCGTGTTCACTTCCACGAAATCTCTGCAGAGCACAGAGAAATGACAGAGGGAGGGAAAAGAGGAGAGCGATGAGAGAAACACAAAGATAAGAGAAGGAAGAGAGGGAGAGAGAGAGAGAGAATCCCCTGCTGTTTTTCCAATCAGGAGGCGTCGTCCTCCTCACTGGGTGATTTATTCTCCCTTCTCTCCTTCGTGTCCCAATTTCTAAACCCCCTCCACCCCACCCTCCAATTCTTTCATTCATTCTTTCTCCCCGTCTTCTTTCTGTGGGCAGCTTGTGAACATGGCTGTTTAGATATGACGACAGAAACACATTCGGGCGGGGAGCGCCGTTAAAATGACTCACCTGTTAAAGGCTGTGAGATTTTCAACTAAAGTAACTCTCGGTTCACTTTTTCTCTCGGGGATAAACACTGCTTCTCCAGATGAGACATGAAGCATCTTTTTTATTTTAAAGGCAGCATTAAATGATGTATGACCTCGCTGACCAACATTAATAAGCCACGTCTGGCACCGGCCTCTGCACACCAGCAAAAATCATCCCCCTTAACAAATGAATAATGAATCTGGGGTGCAGGGTCAAGACTAAATATATGTATTATAAATTAATTTAAGCCGGGAATGAAAAATATTAAAACTCCACAGAGGAGAACGGTGCTGTTAATACAAATCGAAGCCATGGTTGCCAAAGGAGAAAATTTGATTTGCGGTGGTGTGTTTGTTTTCGTGTCACCGACATCGCCAATAAATAGAGCATTCATTCATTATCACCTGTCTTGTTTTGTTGCCAACCAATCATTTAGTCACATTTCATATCCCAGCAAGCCCTCCTGCACCTCCCTCCATTCATCCCCTGGAGCCACAAGTGTGTGTGTGTGTGTGTGTCCTACCTTTATTAAATGTCTTCCTATGTTAGCATGAGTGGATGTGGTGGAGCATGAGATATAGCACATTATGTTAAATAACCAATGCAAGTGTTTGCACTCCTCACTCCTCACACACACTCCTCACACACACACAGACATACGCACACACACACACACTGACCCCTCCCTCTCAGCGCTGGTTGGTTGCCACGGCTACAGTGTCGCCTCTCTTCCTCATGTTGCTATGAGACTCGGACCGACAGACCTGAGCTGAATGACAATGTGTCTGTGGCTCTGGCAAGAGGCCCTCAACAACCAATAAGAGACGGTCTAGACAAACACTTCCCAATCTGGGGTCTGGGGACCTTGGGGGTGATTGTTTGGGTTGGCAGGAGCCTCCGCAGCCATATGAGGACTGGTTTATTAACACTAGTGCTTTTCATTTCCTCAGCAGATGCCTCAATGAGGAAATGTGCACGTTATTGTATGCTAAAAGATTACAAGAGTTCCTTTATGAAATCTGTTCGATAAACATATTTCCCTACAGACAGGAAGATGCGGATACAGTAAATGCTCTGATTAGAACATTATAGCAGAAATCACAACAGGGTTACTTACAGTAAAGCCGCATTAATCAATATGTGTATATTACCAATCAATCAATTAGTGTCTGTAATGGGCAAGGTGTGAGGAATCCACAGAGATGCAGAGATTTCTGCCAAGCACCAATTCAAAGTGAAGACAAGATGAACCGATGAAAGAGAAGCTAAAAAGAAAAAAATGAATCATCCGGTTGAATGTTGCTCCGTTTCTGCCAGATGTGGAGGTTGCCATAACAACTTCATAAAGGTGATAATATGTTGAGAGATGTGTTTTCATCATGTTCTGTTGCCCCCGAAATGGTAAAAAAAAAAAAGAAAAAAAAAGGCAATCGATGTAGCTTTAAATAATGTTGAATCTTAACTATGTTTGGTGTCTTTGGGGACTGAGAACCCTGAGAACCCTGAGAACCCTAAGAACCCTGAGAACCCTGAGAACCCAGACCACGGTTTGAAAACCAGTGAACAAAGACAAAGTGCAGACGTAGATTTTCTGCAGTCATCTATTGCATATATACAAAGCTGTTTTACTTCACTCGTTATTGTGGTATAATGGCTGAAAAAGAATCCCATTTCCCTACAAGGCTTATTTAAGTTTAATTTAACTTGATCCAAATATTAAGAGAAAATAATAATGTACTGCACGTACTGTAAAAAGGGAAACTGCCTAATGAAGACACTTAAATGCTTAAAAGCTTAGGAAAAAAAAGTGCTCCCTTAACTGATTAGCTGAGAGACAGAAAATTAATCAACAACTACTATGATACTATGATAAGCAAAATATTTCCTTTTGTTCGGATTAAAATAAGATATTTTAATATGTCACCTCAAACAGTGGGAGATTTTTCTGATAATTTACTGACGGAAAGTGATGATGAAAAATAGTCGTTAGTTGCAGCCCGCATGAGAAAGCTTTTAGACGCGACTGTTGCTTGAGAAGCTGCGGCCGGAGTCCGACCTCCTCAAACGAAGAATGCTTTCTGTCAGATTGTACTTGCTGTGGCTCAGGAGTGCGAGCGGACACCGGGGGGAGAGACCGTTTTTTTTCTCCCAGTAAGAATAACACCTTGTTGTCAGGGTTTGAGGGGTAAGGCGGGACCCAAAATGCAGCCAACACTTGGGAGACGGTGCAAAAGGTTTATTTAACCGAAAGAGCTTACACAACACTGGTGAAGCACAGGGAAACACAGGAACTTAAACAAGAAACAGGAACAGGCAACATGAACAGACCGAGGACAACCAGACATGAACAGGCAACGTGAACCGATGCGGACAAACCTAGAAACCAACAGACAAAGGGGAGCACAAAGACTATATAGACACAAGGGAGGCCAGGGTGATTGAACACAGGTGAAACACATTAGGGCGGGGCAGACAATCACCACACAGAAACAGGACCAAGACGAGAAGCAAAAACACAGAGACACAAGGAAACCAATTACAAAACAATACAGGAAGTGAGAAAAGTCCAAACAAAACTAACAAAAAGTGTCTGCCATGGGAAAACCATGACACTTGTTTCTGTGCTGAAATATGCTCCGCTGGAGGCGCTGGGCTTCTGACACATAACAGCAGAGCAGATGTGGGTGGGAGGGTGAGATCGTCGGGGCTTTGTGTCACCAGAATCAATCAGATTTTTTTTTTTTTTTTGGTTTGTTATTGGTGTGTATACAGAGAGAGTGAAGGGGCCACCCCCCCTACATCATCCAATCAGAGTGATGCTGCTCCTCCTGGTCTGTAGCTGCTCAATATGCTTTCATTATTTTATTTATTTTTTATATCAGACCAGAGAAATTGCTCCAGTTCTACAGGTTTAATGGGTCAACTTCAATTATTTCAATAATATGACTGATTTCTTTTTGTCTCTGTGTGTGTCTCTCTCTCTCTCTCTCTCTCCCTCTCCAGGAACTGTTTACAGCAGAGTGTAAGTTTAAGGAGTCGGTGTTTGAGAACTACTATGTGATCTACAGCTCTATGCTCTACAGACAGAAGGAGTCGGGCCGGGCCTGGTTTCTGGGCCTCAATAAAGAGGGACAGGCCATGAAGGGCAACAGGGTTAAAAAGACCAAACCAGCTGCACACTTCCTGCCTAAACCTATAGAAGGTAACACACTCTACATGCATATACATATATATATGTATAAATACACAAACCAGGGTTTTATTTATGTATATTTTCAAATCATTTTCCCTCTTGTCTCCCTCCCTTCCTCCAGTTGCGATGTACCGAGAGCCTTCGTTGCACGATGTAGGGGAGGCGGTGCCCAAACTCGCGGGGGGCCCGCCGTCCAAAAGCACAACCAGCGAACCGGTGGTCATGAACGGCGGCAAACCAGTCAGCAAACCCGACAAGGAGGAGACATAACCCCCCCACCCCCACCCCTTTCTCCGCCCTCCTCTGGCCTGACCAGAGGCCAGGAAAAGTCAGAGACCCGCCCCACTGCTGCGCTCTCAAATAACAAATCTACAACTAAAAAAAAGGTAACAAAAACAAACAACAGCTCAAGTTCTGACTGGTCAGCAGTGGGGCCGCACGTCCCCGCCTCACCTCTCTCCCTATTGGACGGATCGGGTGTTGAGGGGCAGGGCCAGAGGGACAGAGCGCTGCAGCTGGCGGCTGGCGGTGGCGGGAGAAGAGAGGAGGAAGAAGAAGACGGGCCAGTGCCAGCCAGATGTTTTGAAACAGGGACAGTGGCATGCCCTCATATTGGAGACAAAATGACTTCTTAACAATATAAACAAAAAAAAACCAAAAAAAACAAAAAAAATGTCGTCTTCACCGGTATTTTTCTGTGACAATCTGTAAGAATGAGGCCCTTTTTTTTTCCCCCCTTCCTGTTTTCTGTTGTCAGGTATGCTTGCTCGCTAGTGGCCCCACACACACACACACACACACACACACACACACACACACACACACACACACACACACACACACACACGAAATCGACCACTTCAAAAAAAAAAAAACAGATTACAAACATCTGCAAACATCAGGCTGAAGAACACTCGAAACAGCAAACACTGATGGTTCAGCGGGATGCTTAGTCATTGATCAGTTCATTAAGATTTGGCATTGGACCGTCTGCACTAAGCGTACAATTTTCAGTGAATGAACACACCCACTGATCTGTCTCTAATTCTGATCATAAACTATATATCCGTTCTGAGACCACATAGCTTAGAGCATGTTTGTCTTTTCAGTATTCCTTTATTATCTATTCATTAGGTGTTTTATTATCCTGCACACACAAAGCACTAGTGATTATCCAGCTACGTTTGTTGTACAGACACAGAACAGATTTTTTCTTTTTCTACCTCTCCGTCTGACAATTTGTTTTTGTTTTTTTTTCTTTCCCCTTTATTACTGCTACGATTTCCACAGTCCGCGTGTCAAAACGAAGAGCTTTGGCATTTATATTAGCGTGTAGCCTAAACCAGAAAGACTTTCGCACATTCCCCGTTTGTAGCAGCATGGAAGAGAGCATGGGGAGGCATGCTGGCGTCCGAGCAGCATGGTAGCAGTCAGTGTTTACATGGAGCAGCAGATACTGTAGACGGAGGTGCATCAAACCTCAAGAAGGGTCAGAAACGCAGTGGGGCTTTCAGCTTCCGTTCCCTGCCGACTACTTGAAATGAAAAGGTGGGAATGAGGGTATTGGTTAACAGGGTAAATGGTTTTAAAGCCACTATGTGTAGGATTTCTGACTTTACTACGCAGTGGTGCTTTATATCTTTAAAAAAAAAAAAGCAACTGTGGTAGAAACATAGATCCGGCACTGGAGGGCTTCACTGGTCCAATTAGTTCCCAGGAAGCAAGACCCGGTCTAATCAGGTCGGGTAAGGTCCTGTTGTATTGCTGCAGGTCTAAGGCAGTGGTGGAAGAAGTATTTAGATCCTTTACTAAAGCAAAAGTACTTATACCACATTGTAAAACCACTCCCCTCCCTCTATCAGCTAAATATACTTCAAGTATCAAAAGTAAGAAGAGAGAAACAGCCCCTGAGACTGATATATTATCATATATGACTTTATTAGAGTTTAAAACTGATGCATCAATGTGCATGGACCATTTTAGTGCTGTAGCTGTTTGAGGTGGAGCCAGTTTTAACTCCTTTATATACACTGGGTAGTTTATTCCACTGGTTCCAAATCTATGGGCCCCTCCAAAGAGTCACAGGATCCGTCTGAGAGGTCAAAAACGTGACCTTATTGGGCCTCAGACAGTATTTAAATAAATGGTTAAGTCTTTAATAATGCATATTTGACAAGCTTATCATGTTTTTTTATGTAAAAAAGATTTCCCTCTGAAATGTAGACGTAGAAATATAAAAATCCGTCAGTAAAGTGCCTCAGAACGCCCTTGAGTGGGTATTTTCCACCGCTGGTCTCAGGTCTCTGTGGGTCAATACGTCTGATACTCGAGTAGATCCAGGCAGACTTGTTATCAGCTATCATAATCATCACAGGGTGTAAAATGTGAGAAGTGTGAAGTGCTGGGAAAATGACATGTATTTTTACACTGTTCGGCTGCGGCTGGATGGTCCATCACGCTGCTGCCAGTACTGCAGTTAACAGCGTTTGGGATTGGGTTTAATTATTCTTGGGTCTAAATGGATCAGGTTTTTTTTTTTTTATTAATTTATGCACAGTTTTCCGCAGGACAATGATTTGAATAATGCTGTAATCACATAAAAAGTCCTCACATAGTGGCTTTAAACTAGTCTGCACAATGGCCTATAGAATCACTCTAGGCTGCTTAAAAAAGTATTAGATGTGGTTCGCGTAGAAACTGGTGAAAACCACAAAAAAAAATAAATGGCACACATTGATTACAGTGTTACATGAAGCTGTCATCGAGTCAAACACACTGGGATATGGCTTTGTGCGAAACGGGAAGCGACGAGGCAGAAAATGAAATGAAATGAAACCAAACAGATTCCCACGCCTCGTGCTCTCAGTGTGACAGTCAACAACGACACCGATCCGTTACCAGACTCCACACCCAGGCCGTTCTGTTTCCGGTGTTTCCGGTCGAGACGCCAATTAACTCATAAAAAAAAATAAATAAAAAGTTAGAGCAGTGGTCGGTCATATCTCTGAGGAGATGTTAACACTGTGATCCCTCACTTCAGTGACAATGAGGCACTTTGAGTCGCTTCGAATCCCAATTTTTTTGGGCAAAATGACCTCTTTGCATTTTAACGAGATCTTTGAAACACTGTCTCGTTTGCTGGAGATGAATGATCTCCACTGACGACAGCAGAACTACAAAAACACCCGACAAAAAAAATCAAGGTTGTACAATTAAGTGTTCTGACATCAAACAAGCACCAGCCCAGATTGGCCTCAGTAACAGGCACCGTATGTGTGTGTGTGTGTGTGTGTCGCAGGTGAAACCCTGCACCGGAGCCACTCTGACGTGTTAAATGTTGTCCCGCTGTGCGGTACTCCAGGAGGATACAGAGACCGTGAAAAATACTAGACAGCTCGCGGCGTCTCTAATTGGCATTTCTCAGATTTCTTTCCTCACATCACGCTGCATTTTTTCCCCTCCTGTGATCTCGTTAGCCGTTAACTCGCCTCCGTCTTCAAATGCGTGTGGCCGACCGGCTCGCATTACACGAAACCTGCCCGGTCCAATGTGCTCACGCTGGTGTCATCTCCTGGCCTTTTCAACACTGATATGAAAGCGATTACAAGAGCTGTTTATTAATGTGGGGAAAAGATTCAAGAGGGATCAGAGTTTAACATTTTAAAATTTCGGTGACGCCGAAGTTTAATGTTGATCTAAAATCTACAAGTGCGTGTGAAATGTGTTGCTGCTGTTGGTTCATCGGAGAAGTGTTCTGTTTGCTGGATAGTAGTAGCTACTGTATGTGAGTGCCTCTCATCCCCAAGATGTGAGATCCTCAGCCTTCCTGGATTTCAGCAGAGTTTACACAAGATTTCTAAATTCTCAAAAGGTGTTTTAGCTTCAGCTTCTGTCTGATGTGACTTAAAGAGTGAAGTGAGATGGTGGTGGTGGAGAAGAAGATGTCTTTGGACCGGTGTTGTACTTGTCTTGCGTCAAAGAAATGTAGATGTAACATTTATCGACTATTTGTTGTGTTATTAGCAAAAAAAGAAAGAAAGAAAGAAAGAACCCTGACAATCAGGTCTGTAAACTTCTTTTTCATTTAACGCATCCTGTGTCGTCCCGACTGCCTGTGTCCAAGCAGGAGCTTCACGAGAAGCGGCTTTAACGACAGTATGGAGGAGGATGTTGTTGTGCTTGGCTGAGCAACCATTTCCAAACACAATGGGTAACAAGGACTCCAGGACGGCGGCTGCTTTTCCCTGAATGATTGTCAAGCAGCTCATTTGTGCCACACTGGCGGCGAGAGGAATAGGAACCCAAATCTTCCGTTGTGTTCAGAGCGACCCGGCTTGTTAGGTTGGCAGAGGGGTTCAAATCCTGTGAAAGCAGCTATTGAAGATCTGTGCTACATACTCAAGAATTAATTATGGCTGAGGCCAGTGGGGGGGTGGGGGGTGGGGGGGGTTTGGTGGCCTGGTTTCCTGGATACTGACCAAAGACACTGCAACAATAGTGTTTCCAGGCTTGTAATCACAGCTCCCGGTTCAAACAACGAAAGCGCAATTACTGTCAGCGTCTCCTGAGAGATTTCTATCCACCGGTGGTCAGCCAGGTAGCAAGGCTACAATTATGAGCCACGTAACAGCGGGCGCCCTGCACAGGAAGAGACCGGCTGATTTAATTAGAAGTGAGTAATCACGACAAAACACGGGTCACTTTGAATTCCCACATACAAGTACCACTCGTGTTTTTCTTGCGGCAGGTACACATGTAGCCGTCTTACTTTGTCCTGCATGAACTGTAGCTCTGAAATCAGACGGCACAAAATGGACATGAGACCAGACCTAATAGGACAAAAAAAAAAGGCTTTTGTGTCCTGAGAACAGCCGTGCAGGTGCACTTTAGAGACATGTAGTGGTGAGCGCTGTTCTCATGATGTAGCTCGTCTCCCTCAGGTTTTTCTTTGTCGTTTCTTTTTCCCGCTCCACTTTATTCCTCTTACAAAAGACTGCCTTATTACATCTGAATCTGAAAGGAGACAGTAAACGCGCTCTCCTCCCAGCTGTTTCTTTCTTTCTCCGAACACTCTCATCCCACACACACACACACACACACTCTCTCTCTCTCTCTTCATCCTATTTTACTTTTCAATTATCCTTTGATCCACAATCTTCTGTTCACTGTAACTATGCTAGCTTTCGCTCTCTGCTCGTTTTGTAATCATGCAGCCAGAGAACTTACTCCCACCTCCTCTTTTCTCTTCTGAAACCCCCCCCTCCCCACCC